TTTTGATCAAACAGAATTGACAACCGATCACAAAATGGACCTAAAATCCCCATGCCAGCTGAATTTATTTTTTATTTATTTTTATTTCATTTTACTTATTTTCCATAATTTTATTGAGAAACAAACAGCAATGAGACACTTTCAAATCAAATTGGTAGGACAGTTTCAATAATTAACACATTGCATACTGTCTTCCTAGTGGTTATTTGTTGTACAAGATGCAGACATGATATCCTATTTACAAACACTATTAGAACACATCCCTCTATTCACTGAATTAAGAGAATGTAGCTATATATCTATCCTAACCATTTTGAATACACAGATACAAAATGGGCATTCATCTGTATCCCCTTTTTTGTTTAGTTCCATCATTTAAATATTATAGGTGTGTGAACTCAACAAAATATTCCAAAATAGTCCAGCAGTCCATAATAGTATTGGGTTTTCCTATTTTTTTGGTGGAACCAGGGAGCGCTTATTCCACTGAGCCATCTCCACGGCCCCTGAATTTCTTTAAAAAACCTTTATAAATGAAATAATTCATAATCTGTTCAGAATGTCTTCACTTTTAACATTTTACCCAGTATACCTCACCCTCCCTTACTGGCTTGTATTCCCAGTGGGGTTTTCTTTGGGGGAGGGGTGGGGTCAGTTATTGACTTCTACTTCTTTAGACAAGTTTATGTATAAGGAATACACATCCAATCTCCTAAAAAATAATAAATTACTCAAATCCCTAACTCAGAAATAGCAGACACTTAACAAGTGTATTTTCTCTCTCCCACTTCATCCCCATGGCTACAACAGGATGGAACCTTGCATTCAATATGAAAGCCAATTGCTATCCCTGGCCCACATCCTTCTTGCTCCTCCATTCTCAACTCTGGCTAGACTCACCAAAGAAGTACAACACAGGTAACTGGGTACCATCAGACTTTCTGATTCAGGTTTTGGGTGGGGTCGCAGAAGTTACATCTCTAACAGATACCCAGGAGATACTGCTGCTGCTGTGACTGGTTTGGGGACCTCTCTTTGAGAACCAGTCTGGGATATAGAATAGGCCTTGGGATCTTAAAAAGCCCCCTGAAAGAGTCTAATATACAGTCAATGTTGAGAACTACTACTGTATATTATAGTATTCTCATTCTCTCTCTTACTGGGTATTACCTTCTGAACAGTGAACTCTATAAAGAGAATTAATTTTACAAACATTTTCAACTCTCCTTCGGTTTCTTTTTCTCTGTATTTTATGTGGTTCATGCTTTTACTTATCCAGGTTTTCTAGCAGCATTAAACTTATCAAAGTTTCAAGTCTACTTGATTCTTCTGAAAGAACTGACCAATTGCTAAACAGTCTATATCACATATGTACCTTAATAATATTCTTCATTCAAACAAAAAACCCCAACAAAATCCTTACTCTAACAATATAGTTCCTAAAATATGAAATGTGTTAGAATCACACAACTGCTGGTGAAAACAGTGCCTATGTAAAGTGACCACAATGGCATATTTTTACTTTGACAAGTAATACCAAGTAAGATAACTTTTAAACTTGAAGAGACTTCAGTGCTGTAGTATAATCCTTCATACTCTATCTGAGGAAAATGAGGCCCAGGAGAAGGAAGATTCCTTACATACAGTCACAGGACATGTGGACTGAACTTTCAGTTCAGCACTCTTTTTTCTTTAAGTATTAGGGACTGAACTCAGGACCTTGTGCTTGCCAGGCAGGTACTTATTCCACTGAGCTATATCCATGGCCCTTGTCCAGCACTCCTTAAGCTCATCACTTATGCTGCTCAATCAATATAGGAGCCAAGGCTCATATGTGGCTTGAGCACTTCAAATGTGGCTAGTCCAAACCGAGATGTGTTGCAAATGTAAAATATACAGCAAATTTCAAAGACTTAGTCCAAAAAAGAGAATACAAAATAGCTCATTGATGTAATTATTACATATTAAAAGACTATTTTCAATGTAGTGGGTTAAATACAATTTATTATTTTATTATATATAACTATACCTCCCTTTTTTGAAAAAAAAAATGGGTATGTATCATCTAGCATTCTGAATCTGGCTTTTACGCTACATGAGTACAAATAAATTGACAGTGCAACCAGGAAGATAGCTCAGCAGCATAAGCATCTGCCTGGCAAGCACAAGACCCCGAGTTCGATCCCCGGTATTGCAAATAAATAAAGCACAGTACCTTAAATGTAGAGTAAGTACTGCACATCTATATAGAGAAATACCCAAATAGGAACTGCTAAGTCAAATGGCATATTCACTCACAATTTTGAAAGATGTCACTAAATTGCTATCCAAAGAGGGAATACCATTTTTCACCTTCACTACCAGCATATGGGAGTGCTCTTCTCCCCACTGTCTATACTATGTATTACTTAAATCTTGGATCTCTGTTACTCTGACAAGTGAAAAATAGTCATAAGTGGTTTTTGTGTGTATGTGTTTTTGTTTTTATTTCATATCAGGGATCAAACTCAGGAATTTGTGCTTGTCAGGCAGGCACTGATGCCGCTGGGCTATATCCCTGGCCCAGTCATAAGTTTATTTGAAATTGAGTGAGCTTAAACATCCCTACCTATGTTTGTAAGCCATTTGTATTTCTTTCTCTATGAATTGCCTGTCCTGTCCTTTTCTCATCTTTCTACTAGGTTGTACTTCTACTTAATTTGCAAGAGTGTTTTACATGTAAAGAAAACTGGCCTCTATACACCCTAAGAGTGAATATGAAGGTAAATTATGGACTCTGGCTGACAATGGTATTGATACGGATTCATAAACTATAGCAAACATACCACTGTAGCAGGGAATGTGGAACAATGGGGGAGGTGATGTATATGTGGGGTCAGGGAATTTAGGGGAATCTCTGTATTTGCTTCTCAATTTTACTGCGAACCAAAAAATGATTCTAAAAAATAAAGTCTATTTTTGAAAAGTCTCCCCAACTCCAAGATTATTAAAAGTATCTATTATTTTTATGGTATCCTCTTCTAGGTAAGTTTTTCTTTCACCCTGAAACTTATGTAAGCATAGACAGCAAAGGAGAAATTCAACTATATTTTTTCTCAGATGACCATTCCATACTGATAAGAACCCTCATTTTATAAAAGATTATATGCAATTTTAGATCTCTTGCTGGACATTTCTATACTAGCTCCATTAAAATCACCAAATACTTTTGAATCAAAATATTTTAACTACCCTAAACTCCTAAGAAATTGAAAACGTAGGACTCATAAATCATTTTTCTTGTCAAAATTTTCCTGTGATTATTTTTAAATCAAGGAAACTTTGTAATTTATGGATAAACTGGAAGGACAACTGATAATCGTAAATTACTTTTCCATCCCAGCCAACAATGCATACCTTTTTATTTACTAAGGTCTGAAGTCTTTCTGCAGCACGTTAAAGTTTTCTTCAAATATTCAGTACTATAAGTTTATTCCTATGTACTCTTATCTTTCTTAGTCACTTTTATAAATGGGATTCATCGGACAGGATATCATGTCTGTATCTTGTACTATGAATAACCACTACAAAGACAACAATCTGCAATGTATTAATTATTGAAACTGTCCTACTAATCGGTTTTGAAACTGTCTCATTGCTATTTGTTTCTCAATAAAATTAATAAAAAAGCAAAGAAAAAAATAAAATGGGATTTAGTTGATTATATTTAACTGATTATTGTTCATATAGCTCAAAGCTACTGATTTAATATTAATTTTATAACTAGTAAACAATGTATTATCAGTTTCCCAGATTTATAATAATTTGTATATAATACTTTCCTTCCTTCCCTTCCATGTTTTATGTATTTCTTTTTCTTATCTAGTCACAATAGCTAATACTTTCAAAATGTGATAATGATCACCATTTTCCTTGGGCTGAGAGTAGCAGCAGATTTTCCAAGAATCATCAGGTATAGACCCAAGAATTAGGGATTTCTGCAACTGAAAACAAAGTAATTATATTAAAAGTAATTACAGACTCCATAGAGACTGTTGTATCAGAGTGCCTAAGGTTAACATTGGCACTCAAATTATTTAAGGATATTAAATGGTTGACTAAATACTAAAATACATCGTTCATATTTAGGATATTAGTCCTCTTTAAAGCACTTTTTCATAAAAGACCTTATTTAAGTTAAATTTTATTAATCAAACATTTCTCTTAGTTGTACCTTAAGACCCCACATACAACATAGGAGAGACCTCAATTTTGGGGGCCTCAGACTTTTTTTCACAAAGGAGGGTACTGCAATAGGCTAGATAGATTCTAACACCTATACTAGTGTCTAATTTTATGATATACTTTTTATTTATTTATTTATTTATTTTTGGGGGGCGGAACACAGGATTGAACTCAGGCCCTTGCACTTACTGGGGAAGCGCTAATTCCACTGAGCCATCTCCCTGGCCCTTATGACATACTTTTTTTTTTTAATTCGTGCTGGTTTTAATTTTATTTATTTATTTATTTAAATATGGGGGGCCCCAGCTCCGCCCACCAGGGGGTGGGACTGCCTGGCATGTGGTGCTGGGGGATTGAACCGCAGGTCGCTGTGCTTTGCTAAGCTTGTTCTAAGTAGGTGCTTTAGACCACTGAGCCATCTGACCAGCCCTGACATACTTTTTAAAAAAGTGAATATAACGTTTCCAATAAACTTCACAACTGAGGTTGGTAAAGATACACATTTTCCTTTCATTGAAAGCACTTTTCTTTTAATTCTTTTGTGTCTAGTATACCATTTTTTGAATGCTCCTAACAATGGAACATAATAAAAATTTTTTCTCTTCAAATTTTTATTCCTCGAATTTTTCTCGGTAACATACATGAATTTCATGCAAAAATTTAAAAAGAATTGCAGTCTTTGGTATAAGACAGTTAGCAGAATCGTGTTATTCCACCATTATTACATGGGACTCTATCTAGTATTCCTGGTTCCATTCACAACCCCCCGTCGGTGAATGTCTGGAGCAGTGGTTCTTAGAGTGTGGTCTCTGGATCAGCAGCATCAACACCCTTCCAACTGGCTGGAGATGCCAATTCTACACTATCCCCTAGACCTAGAATCAGACACTCTAAGAGCAGCACTCAGCGGGTTGCAGAGCGTGGCTGTGTGAGGTGGGTGTGGATTTACTCAAATAAGCTTTAACAAGCATTTAGAAATTATGACACTGAATTACATAGTTACCAAACAAAAACCAGGCTAAGGTGGAATGTTACAATGAAAAATGAAATGTAACCTTTATATATCTCCTCTCAAAGCCCAAAATATATCTCCTAATTATGTTAATTACCAAAGATTTTATTTTATTCTGTTTTTAATTTTTTCAGTACTGGGACTCAAACCTGGAACCTTGCACTTGCCAGGCAGGCGCTTATACCACTAAGCTATCTTCCTGGCCCCCTGTTTTGTTGTTTTGTTGAGACAGGGTCCTGCTATGTATTTCAGCTTGGCCTTGAACTCACTTATGTAGCCCCAGTTGACCTTGTACTCACAATGATTTCCTGCCTTAGCCTCCTGAGTACTGAGATTACAGGTGTACGCTACCACTTCTTTTTTTATGTATTAAGCACAGGGTCTGCAGGGTCTTACTATACAGATCAGACTCATAGTGTTCCTGTTTTCAGCCTCCCAAGTGCTGGGATTAGTCGCGCACCAAGTCCAGTCTCAGTCACTGCCTCAGCGTGCCTTGGAGGCGGGGCTGGCATAGCACGCAGGCGCTACCATTTCTAACACTAAGAATTTTAATACAATTTCCAATGCCTGTAATTTCTACATTGCAGAAGCATATGGAAAAGTTTCCTGCAGAAAATGTCTTCTACCATAGGAGACACTTTCATGTTATGGAATGGGTTAAAAGATTCTTTAGCTTCAGTTGTCCAAGTCTCTCCAACCAATTTTCATTAGCCCTTAAATCTGCTTTTATATTTCACCCATCTTCAACAAGCCTGAAATATCTCCTTTGAATGCTGAGATGATTCTAGGCTACCTGTCATTTGCTAGGCACTGACCAACTTCTGATTCTACTTTGGAGCTTAGGAGATGCTGCTCAATAAGAAAATTCTCTTTAGCTCCTCATCAGATGTTTTATACAATAAAACTAAAGAATTTGACTTTGCTGCATAAGTATGCTCACTGAGTGTTCCTCCAGGAAAGCAGAAAATGGGGCTGGAGTAGGTCATTAATTATTAAGAACAGAGAAGTCTCTACCTAATCAAGTCTTCTTCCTTGGGAACACTCTCAGAAGGCTCTGTACATCAGAAGCCAACAGAGAGATTTATATTTCCACATGCTGAACTTCAATCTATCATCAAGTAGGGAAAGTCACTTGAAACAGAACAAATTTTATGAATTATTTGGGGAGGGAAGAAGGACTGAGATACTATACTAACTTGCCACAAACCTGCCACAGTTAGTGAACACACATAGCCCCTTTGCATATCAGCATAAAATGAAGATTTTTCCACTTTCCTACAACACTGGCAGTGTCACCGAAACGCCAGTAATAATGTTTGACAAACTTATTCCCTAAGCAGAAAGGATCTGTCCATCCAGACCAGGATATATATCTTGGCTGCCCTACCAGGAACATTATTATCAAAAGAATATTTAAAGTGACTTCTAAAGTAAACAAAACCCAACAGGGTTATATTTTTCCCTGCATCACTCACTTTCTTCAAATGAATGCTGATGCAGGGAAAACAATATACTAGATTAAATTAATCAGCATCTTCAATTGTATCAGTTGGGATGACTCTTTTTATGTGGAAGATTTGGAGCACAAGATGATGAACCTGACTTCAAGTGGAGGAGGAAGAGATCCAAACTTGCTAATGTAAAAGAGGATAAAAAGCCTGAGGATAAAGGGAAGAGGCAAAAGAAGAGAGAAACGGGCAATGACAGGTCAGACTCTTAGGTCCCAAGGGCTAGTATCATATCATTTAGCTTTGAAGTCATTGAGCCTAGGATAGTGTCTGATACACTTCAGTCAAGAAATGAAGAAATAGGCTTTTATTCCATTTATTTATTTATTTATTTATTTATTTATTTATTTGGCGGAACCAGGGATTGAACTCAGGCCCTTGCGCTTGCCAGGGAAGTACTTATTCCACTGAGCCATCTCCCCGGCCCCATCTTTTTATTTTAAACTGATGGAATTAAACTCTGATAGCAAGACTGATTCCGATGGAGGAATATTCTAGCCTCCCTCTAGTGAGGATGCCTGTCAGACTGCAGAAGCTCTTTTGTGCCTTCTTTCACCATGCCCTGCTTGCAGAGGGCAGACAATGCAAACCCATGGCAAACACAAAGGCAGGCACCAGCTCCCAGTTCTGCTCTTCTTCTACGTAAGTGGCCACATGCCTCAGGTAAACCCTTCATCCTGTGAAATTTTGGGCATGTTACTGAGGGTACTTCCAAGCAACACTACCCTGCCTTTCGTGGGATGACACTGTGAGCACAGTGCAAGTGTCCCTAACCTACCCTAACAGACTTTGGAGGACAAGTATATTTCCTATATACACAAGCCCATGTCTTTCCTCCAGCAATATACGGTGTAATGCGTGGGATTTTTTTCTTGTTCAAGGGATGTTTAATACATTTTCCTCAGGTTGCTATGGATCCACTGCTTAGTGGTGGATAACTTGAGAATTATGAAAATGGAAAATAGAGCATCTTCTCCCTATTCCTTCACAGCAGACAACTCAATGATTGCAACATTAAATAGTGAGTATATAACCAAAATATATTAGTTGGTTAATGAAAGCTAAGTCTCAAATGAAATAATGTTTAGAAAGATGATACTTGAACCTGAAGAATTCTCATTACCCACTTCCTTAGGGATAACTAGGCTCCTCCACAAGGAATGAAACTTTCCAGAGAATGAAAACATTTGGTTAGTCTCTTGCTTTTTCCTCTTGTCAGAGCTTCTCAAAGTAGATGACTTTAGGAAATAATGCCATGTTCTAAGTTTCTTATCCTGGAATGATTTTTGGTCTCACTGTATAATACTGAGCAGTTTTTGAAATATTTTTGATGTTAAACCCCTCCAAAAGCGCCAAAACAACATAGCATATCATCTATACTGACCAAGACTGAAAATATTTGAGAATACAATCTTCCACTAATCAACCAAAATGACTCTTCTCATTTGCCCATAAAGAGAAGCCCAGCATTAGTTAACCTTTTCCCTAATGTGGTAACATTAAAAATACTCCACTTATGAATTTAGCAAACAAAAAATAAGTCTGAACTGGAAATGCCACAGAGAACTACCATTATGTTCATAAATCAACCTCACATTATTCAATGCAACCTAAGGGGCAGCTTTTGTACAGCACAAAATATGAACTACACATTTCTGAAAGGTCATGCAAACACTAGGAGACAAGAAAGTGAATTAGTGAAAAATGAATTCACTACAGATTTTTACATTAGAAGTCAAAGTTAATACAGTTTCTTACTAACAAAGTACTATCGATCTCCCAGGATTGGCAAACTGTAACATTAAAATAACTTGCTAAATATTTCATATAACTGTTTGGATTTTTCCTGCCACAAGGCAGATAAAAGTTCTCCTTTTCCTCTGTATATACAATTTGTTGTCTGCCTTAAAAAGTAATTTCTTGAAAATGTATGTTCCTTCTTAATAAGAACACCAGTGACTGAACAGCTAAAAAGGCAGAAAAAGGCAGAATCTAAAAGAGCTGAAAAAATTTGGCTTGGTATTAAATTATATTTTTGTTAGCATTAAAATATTTTCCAAGTGCAGTATAAATGCTGATGTAAATTATTGCTTTAAAAAAGAACATGTGTATTTTTGATAAATAAAATGACATATTTTGTAAACGTTTCATGTTTTTCTCCATTTCTTCTTAGTCCTGTTTGCAGTACACAATGTTTACATTTCTCATGGAATTGGTACATGTACAACAACACATCTCAATTCTCCTTTCCCTCCCCTCTCTATCTCTTGATCCCCTTCCCATTTGAGAAAGATCTATCCCCCTACTTCTTATCGCCCTTCATTTTGCTCTTTATTTATAATTTGGGTTTATCTTTGAGAGCAACCATGCATTGTTTAAGCTTGTGTGTCTGATTTATTTCACTTAACACTGTGTTCTCAAGATGCATCCATTTTCCTACAAATGACTCAAGTTATGACATTTCAAGCAGAAAACTCAGTTACATTCTTTCTGAAGAACAAACACATTAAATTAAAGCCTGAAGGCCAAGGAGACTGGAAAGAAAAAAACTCAGTCCTTATACTTGTTTTAGCAAGCAAGGGAAACAAGGTATAAATGAAACTAGAACTTTCTTAGTAACCCTGGGTCAAAAAAATACATATTGAAAGATTATTTCTGAGTTAAATGCTTCAGATTTCACTTATTTTATTTATTTAAATACAAATGAAAAGTATAATGCTCATAGAAAATAGAAAGATGCTCTGTGCATACTTTCAAAACTCAATAAATTGAAAAGGGAAAGCTAAGTCATTTTCTTGTTTAAATCACTAAAAATTTAAGGATGCGAAGAAGAGATGATAGGATAAGAGGTGACAACTTAGGGCTCTTTAATTTGAAATGGATGAAATTACAAGAAAATACTGAACTTTCAAAGATGCACACTTGATTAAAAACATAACTCAAAATTATTAAACTGCTTGTACAATTTTTTTGAGAAATAAAACAGAATTGTCGCTAAGATATTGATACAACATAAAAATGTATGGGAAAATAAAACTATTCAAAATCTTTTATTTTAGCTTCATTTTCAAGTAATTGTCTTATAATCTATATTAATATTTTAAATCAAATGCAAAAACTATTTCACTAAAGTGGATTTCATTTGGGCAAATCTATTTTACTAGTCTATTTTAAAATAATTTAAGAAATAAGTATAAAGATAAAAATCTTAATATGCAGTTTGGTAAAGTTCAAGTCAGTCTTTGAACAACACGTTTATCTATCCAGTAAAGCTTGTGTTAATGCGATGTAAGAGTTTGGCAAATTCAACTTTAATGGAGCATAAAAGTGCTTTTGCTTGAAAGTGAGATCATTTTTAAAAATTCAAAGCATGATCACTTTTTCTTTTTTTCGTAGGAACAATCTGATACAAGCAGCAAAGCTTAAATAAACTAGAAAAATTTCAAATGATCCATAAAGGATTAATAAGCACTGCAGGAAGTCCTATAGGCTCAGCGTATACATTTTCCATCTTTTCCCCCCAGGATGGGCATGATATGAAATTCTAAACAGAAGTGAAGTTTCAAAGTCTGAATGTTAAAGGGCTATTGTGTTGAGGTGAGAGGTCACAACTGTGGGCCCTCTAATTTGAAATGGATCAGAATTACAATGATATTAGGACAAGAACCATTCAAATTTGGACATTCAATTAAAAAGGTCTTGCTGACGATAATAGCTAGTGGTCAGAAGCAAGACTGAGGCAAAAGGAGTAGTGGTAAGCTACAGGTCACTAATATAACAAGAACAAAATGACAGCTATTATTTTGGCAGAGATAATCTATGCTGAAACACAAAACACACACGCACACAATTTCTTTCAATACAATTTTCTTGTCTTCCCACTGACTTCTGTGATTACCACAGAAAGCAGGGTTCTAAACACACTTCTCAATTGAATCCTCAATCAATAATAGTAAAAAATTCAGCTGGAAGATATGGGAAAATGCATTATGGCATTAGTAACTTTACAAAATAGGTTGAACTTATCAATATGCACAGAAAATGATAAGAAACCTCAGATACCTAAAACGTATTTTCATCACCCCAGAACTGAGTCACATTGTTTTTGCTCACTAAACTGAAATTGTTTTCATTCTTTGGTTGCTAATCTTCCTTCTTAATCCTTATAATTATTCTTCGACAAGGACTACACCTCACTAAAAATTCACTACTTTAAATAAAGGTAAAGTCACTCTAATGTACAACAGCCTACTTTCTATGAAAGATGATGCCAAATTTTTCTTATCTATAGACAAAATTACAACTCAGCTCTGGGTCCTAAATTGAAATGAGTAAGACCACAACTTTTTAGTGAATGGCCACGTTTAGACGTTTAGTTCTGGAGTAAACACTCAAAGCAAGGGGAAAATATTCCTTAGGTTATATACATTTTAGAATGTGTAGTTTTAATTCTCTGGAGGTTTACTAGTTTCTTGACAGAAATATAGACTATCCATGCTACTAGAAAGAGATGTACATTCTTAAAATGAAATGCAAACATTTAACAATACCCATTAATGTTGGTATTAATATAAGAGAAATTTAAAAACAGACAAAAAAGAATCTCCCTCAAATATGTAGTCTTGAGGTTCGAGAACAACTGTCAACCTCTCCTATACTATCCTTCTCTTGAGAATTGAGGACACTTACAAAGGCTTTTGCTATTTTATTGCTAATTCACATTACCAATAGTAGATGGGTAAAAGAAATGAAGCTGAAGCTAGTGAGATTTCCATAGTCATAAATTCAATCAAATACTGCACTCCTATTTTGTCCTTTGAACTTTCTAGTAACTTGATAGACAAGCAGGCAAACTGTTACTCTTTTGTGGAGGAGGCTTTTTGAAAATAGATGGGCTTTCACTTTGAATCAGAGGTCCAATTTTAAATCCCAGCTGTACCTATACTGTCCTTCTAACATTGGCTGTTTCTTTCTACAAGACCCAGCTTCTTTTTCTATAAAAATGGAAGAAAATACCATCCACTTCCCAGAGTTGTTATAAGAATTAACTATCATGTATGTAAAAAAAAATGCTTAGCAAAGTGCTTGACAGACAGCTTAAAAAATATTATTCTTTCTTCTTTTTCCTACTCTCCAGAAGTCTACAACCTAATAGGGAACAAAACGATTTGCCACATAGAAAACTCCAAGAAACTATAT